CGGGGTGACCCAACCACCACCCCAGCTAGGTCCGGGTATGTATGGTTGTTTCGGGCACCGACCCGTACCCAGACGAAGTGGCGGCAAGGCCGAAAACGCTCTAGCGGGCGGCCCTTTTCACCCCAGCTGACCCCGGGTCCGGGTATGTTTTGGGCTAATGATATCAGGCGATACGCAGTCTGGCTCGGCATGCAGGGCTCCCAGTACACGGCCGCCACCCGCGTGTTCAAAAAATGGTGGCCAGCCACGTACCCGGGCGAGTGGAAGATGCCCAACGGCATGCGCTACCCGTTCGTGTGGAAGCTCAAGTCGGTCGACATCATCGCTGGCCAGGTCGTCGAAACTTGGGATTGGGAGTGGATAGAGGCCCCAGGCTTGGCGACCATCGCAGAGGTCGAGACCATGCTGCTGGACCACTTCAACCAGCAGCAGGCCGCCGCGCAGGAGGCCCAGGCGCGAGCGGCGGCGGCCGCGGCCGCCCGCGCGGCCGCCGAGCAGCCGTCCAACGCGTCGCCCTTCGGTGCCTGAGCGGGCCGTAGTGCGTGCTGCCTCCCAGTCGGCGCCATCCCAGGTCGACACGGGCGACCTCGGAGCAACCCATAATGCGCCCTCATAGGTGGTGGGCTAGCCTAATACCCTAGTCTCTGTTCACCTCGGCTGCCCACTACCTAGACAGCCCTAGCCAGCCACGCGAGCCGAATATTTCTACGCGCTGGGGAGCCGTGCCGCTCCAATTTAAGGTCGGCTTCCCGCAGTCCCGTTGCAGCGGGCCCTTCAGTTCTATCATCATTCAGCCCCATCCCAAGGGCCCGCTGCAAGAGTCGCCCACCGCCACGCGCGGGCTCTGAGCCTTTTTTTTGTAGGGGCGCCTGCGCTCCTCGACCCCCTCTGTGAGAGTTCGATCATCGAGGGTGTTCGAGAGCTGACAGGCTCCGCCGTGGCCGTGCACTTTCACAGGGCACGTCCATATTGTCTCACCGCTACCAGTCTAGCCCAACTAGACCCCTGCTGGCACCTCCGCCACATGCAGGGACAGACTAATGCAGGCGGCTAGCCAGCACCAGTCTCTAGCTTCACACCTCTCCGCCGCACGAGTGCGGCCAACGCGACACTTTTTAGCAGCCCCGCTACCAGAAGAGCGCTCGGCTCAACGCTCACAGCTCAATTCGCAGACTCGCCACGGCTGAGTCTAGGCTGCGGCAAGCAAGTGGCCCCGCGCAGCCAAGTGCCTTCGGGGACCCCGCTCCTTCCTCTTATAGCCACGCGGCCTGCGCTCGCCTGCAGGCGATAGCCACTTGCTCCTGGGACGATGCCCAGATAAGCCGCAGGCCCTACTAGTCTCTAGACCCCCATGGGCACGGCCGCCCATGTCGGGAAGCACTGATGTAGGCGGCACGCCAGCACCAGTACTCTTATATATACCGCCGCGCTAGTGCGGCCTGCGTCGCCCCACACATTTGGGGCCTGGCCGCACAGCAGTACGCTGTGCGCTGAGGGCAGCATCCCATCCCTCTCCCTTACCTTCATACTGTCCCTCCCTTCGTACCGCGAATAGATGCTGCCTCAGCACCTCCCTCATGCCGAGTATCTCTCGGCTAATGCTGCCCATCAGAGGTGCGCACCTCTGCGCACAGCTACCGCGCCTTAGTGCTTCTTGGCTGTGCAAGATACTACTTTTCCTTCCCTCGAGTTCCTCCCTCCCCCTCTTACCACGGCCAAGTACAGCACAGGCGTTCTCTTACCTGCCCCCCTTACCGGTCACGTGCGTTTCCGATGGGGCTTCCTAGGTCTCTAGGCGGCAATGCCAGCCTCTCCCTCCTGGTCCGCTCCGACACGGCCGCCTTGCAGCGCGGCACTGCCATTTTGGCCCTCTTCCTACTCATCCCGCTCATATCCATGGCTAAGCCATGCTCCCCAGGTGGCCGTTCCTGAGGCCAGCTGTGCTGCTCTTCGGTCTTTCAGCGCTGCCCGCATAGGGCAACGCCTAGCTGGCGCGCTTAGTGACTCTCGCACGGCACCGATCCCTCCCCTTCGGTGCCAATACCTCCCCCGCCCAACATGCAGGTCCAATGGCGAAGAATCGCTTTTGCTTGCGGACGGACCAGGAGCGGAGATCCTTTGTAGTGCCCGCTAGGCGGGCTCTGTCTGCCGCCTAGCCGACCTGCGGCCGCCCCGCTCAAGCTACTTGCAACGAGCTAAGTGTAGTCAAAAAGCCTGGCCCTCCCCCCACCTCGAGACCGTTGTTTGTTGCATCTCCTGCTCCCCATCCTCCTGCTGGAACGGAACAAGCAAGCGAGGACGCACACGGTGACAGCACCACTCCAGAACACCGTCCGACCAGGCAGCGACACCGAAAGCGACAGGGGGCGAGGAGCCCAGAAGGACGCAGCGACGCAGCAACGAGGCGACAACCGACCGAACCGAACCGACTGAGCGCAACCGACTGCGACGCAGCAAAAGCAACCGAAGCGTAGACACCCTTGCGAAACAAATACAGCATGAACATCAAATTCTCGGAGGTTCGCGCGAATCTCTTGGATCTTTGATCGGCGCTGGACCACCCTCCCTGGTGCGCCAAGGGTGGCGCCGGAGGCGCCGCAAGGGGGGGGGGGCGGACCCAAGAGGCCCGTACACACAAGTCATACGTCAGAGGCGCGTGGACGCTGAAAACTGTACGACCCTATCTATGCTTTCACCTGCGGTGATCATGGACAAACTCAGAACTCATATTGGCACGAAATGACCCTCTCTGTACCATGGTCGTCCACTCGTTGCTAGGGCGCCCACAGCGCCTGACATACAACTGCGAAGACGGGATTGTAGTGTTCGGTAGTGTTCGGGACCAACGTGCAAGTGCGGAGTGCTTCTGCGGTAGGCGATCGAGCGACCCTCCCATAGAGCAGCAATTGCTCCTGCAGCAAGCGCCTGCCCAAAGGTTGGCAGCTGGCCCTTGGGGAAGCACTGCTGTGCTGGACATACGAGGCACTTAGGACGAAGGACTGCGTAACATGGGTCACCGCAAGGTCTGCGTACTCTGCGTCTGTCCTTTCTTCCGAGCGCAGCAGATCCTCATCCTCTGAGCAACGCTTGCCCGATCCCCATTCCCACTGGCATGGCTTTGGCCCCACTGGCCGGCTCACGTGGTGGACGCCAGTCCACAAGAAACCTTCCGCACGAAACCCAACCCTGAGAGAGGAGGAGGAGGAGGAGGAGGAGGAGGAGGAGGAGGAGGAGGAGGAGGAGGAGGGGGAGGAGGAGGAGGAGGAGACCCCAGGGCGTCCATGGATGTCCTGGTGCGGGGGCGCCACGCTCTCCCACGGCAAAAACCACCGAGAAACCCGAGAGAAACACACCGGGCACCCGGGGGGCACGCAGGGTGTTCCTTGGCATGGCCTCCCCCCCTCCAATGGGGATCGGGGATCTTCTGACCCGGGTCAATCCAGACCCGGGTCAGCGGGAAACCAAAAGCTGCAATGCAGGACAAAAAAAACTGCCACGCAGGTCTGCGCAAACCCGGGTCGGCCAATACGCGCGGCCGCCCCGCGGCCACGAGCGGCTCCCTAACCCGGGTCAGCCAGAGAGGGTCTTCGCAGGATCCTGCAGGATCTGGCGCTCTGGCTGACCCCCGTTTGCACTGACCCCCGTCTCTTAGGCCCCGAGGGGATATATGCTGTTCACTGCGGCGTCTGCGGGGCCCATCCCCGCCTTGAGGGGGGGGCGGGGGCTGGTGGGGATCTGAAAGAGCATGTGCTGTGAAACTTCTTCTCTCGTTGCGAGGGACGGAGAACTGATCCGTATCCACCGCCTGGGGGTCCATCTTCGGGAACCTCGGCAGGCGGTGGATACACATATGTATATATATATATATGTATGTACATGCATATTCATGTATAGATCCATCTAATTGTATACATACATACGTTTATGCATATATGTATATATACACATGTGTGTATGGCCCCGCAGGGCTCGGATATATCCATACCCACCGCCTGCCAAAGTCCTAGAAGATGATGCCCCCCGAGCGGTGGCAATGGATACATCTCTGCCACGGATCTCTTCGATTGTAGCACGTCCCCATCCTCCGAACATCGTTGTCCCGATCCCCATCCCCACTGGCAAGCCCACTGGTCGATTTACTCTCCAAGTGAGAAGATATATGGTCTTCCATCTGGGCTTCGCCAGGCCTGTCCCCACCTGGAAGTGAAGGGTGGGCTGCTAAGCTTAGACGCCATGGCCGAGTTGGGACGGGGATCCGAAAGGCATGTGCTTGTGCAGAGGTTCCTTTTGTTGCGAGGCGGGAACTCATCTAGTGTATAGCGACCTTCCGGGGGATCCATCCTCGGAAACTTTGGCAAGCGGTTCAGATGGGTCTATGAAACCCCGCAGATCCCGACACTATTTGAGCAAGGGCCCGCCGTCCCGGCATTCGTACAGGCCTACCACGGCATGCTCTTAGAACCCAAAAGCGTCTTAAGAGCAAAAGCAATGCTCTTACAAGATGCACCCGTTGTGTTCAAACAAGACAGTCTCAGCCAGAACTGTTCTAAAAACACTACGCGTAGACCACGAAGGCTCTTAGAACATACTTTGGTGGGCCTATAGGCAAGCCAGGACGCTTCGCCACCGCTCGAAAGATGTCCGTGTCCACCGCCTGCCGCAGCCCCCGGAGACGGATGCCCCAGGCGGTGGCTATGGCTAAGTCACAGCCTCGGAGCTCCTCGATGCGAGCAACCGCAGCAAGCAACTGTAGAAGCACAGGCAACTGTCGGGGCTCCGCGCAGACTCCTCGGACCGGCGCTGGCTTTCGCCTCCCTGGCCCGCGGACGCAGGGGGCGCCGGAGGCGCCGCTGAGGAGGGATGCCCAACGCAGGTCCAAGAGATCCGCGCGGCACTCCGACGGTTCATGCTTATATGCCGTTGTTGGTCCCTCGGCCGATCGTAACAGATCCTCATCCTCGGCCGTGGTTATCGCCCCTCTTGGCGGCGCGCGGGCGCAC